TTCATCTACGCAGAAACGCATCCCCTAATCGTTGACAACTTAAGTATTCTTTGATTTGATATATTTAATGGGATCACCAGTAACCCACTATAAATGAAAATGAAAATTCTACTCCTACTTCATTTATATATTTTTTAATCTGATTTTTCTTTATTGAGGAGTTTTTGTGTAACACGTCTAATATTGGTATTTCTTCGTCTAATCATGGTAAGGTCGACGTGGCGCCCTACATACTAGAGCATAATAATGCATCCCATAGTCGTTTTTAAATACACACTATTTAATAAAAATCTTCTCGCTGTTAGTTATTCACAGCAAAGGGGGTGCATCTGGGGGGACAATGGAAAGTATCAAACTAAATTCCGGTATGAGTGCTTCGTTACACCATTTTGTTTGTGCTCTTTTTTTGTTTTTTTTTACTTAAAATTAAATTTAATTAATAACTACAATTATGTGCTATTTTATTTATGTTACCTTTTTTTTTGTTTTTGATTAAGATTAAGTTTAATTAGTGTTGTTTTTCCATTTTAGAATTGTTTGTAATTGCGTAATTTTGTTTGTTTAATTTTATCTCTCTTTAAGTTGTTTATTTAGATTTGTGTAAAATTGCGTGTTAAAATGTAGAAACACATGGTCAAATTTGGGTAATTTACAAAAGTTTTATTTAAATTTTTGCGATAAGAAATTTTGATATCAGGCGAAAGATAATTAATTTCAACGAAAATGCAGATAAAATAATGCACGTTTGTTACGCGTCTCGTTAGAATGAAGAGGGGACTTCAAGCCCGTTCTTTCGCAGATGACGTTATCTAATCTAATTGTAATAGGCGCATTTTTGATAAATACCGGAAGAAGGAGATTATTCTATAATGGAAGTAGTGTTCCCTTAAATTCTACAGACAACGAAAAAAAGCTACCTGGTTCGCGACGGTTGGAAAAGGGTGTACGTGTCTTTACGCTATTATTTTATTCGGGTAGTTCATCCTATTTGATTAATTGAAGTCGTATAGTTTGTTGTTGTAATAATAATTCTGTACAAAAGAAAGTTGTTTAACGGTTGTAAGAAATGCTTTACGGTAAAAGTAAAGTTGAATTTACCTCTCACTACACCGTGAGGTCACTCGAGTTGGATTTTGAGATTTCACCCGATCTTTAAGTTTCAAGGTTCCAGAAGTCCAAAAAATAAATAATATATGTGCAGAAACTACCCCACCGGTTTGGTTGAAATTTGAAACAGATATTTTCTTAAATGGTCTCCAGAGTTGACAAGCTTTTTGAGGCTATTCGAAAATGGCAAATGCCTTTTTGGCAATACAATCGATATTTAGTGAAATACGTATAACTTTGTTAGGAACAGACCGATTTGGCTGAAATTTTGTACCAATCTTGCTAATGATCCTAAAAAGTGGGCTATAAAACTTATTTATTTAATAAGGTATGAGCAACAAAACTTTGATTGAGAGAAGGCCGTGGAAATTTTAGGTCTCGTCTAATATTAATTAGAAGGCTCGCGTTAAGAAGTTATCAGTGAGTTAATTGCCATTTTGGTTGCCATTTTTTATTGTGTTTAAAGAGTCTACAGGCTATCCTATATAGATGAAAATAAAAATTCTACTCCTAATTGTTCGCAAATTACGTAACATTGTTTCTTCTTTATTTAGCAGCTATCCACTGCAAGTGGTGAGTTTTCTGAATCGCGTCAAGTGTTTTTATTTCTTTATTTGATTATGGTATACGTACTCTTTCTTAGCAATTATCCACAACAAGGGGTAAAAATTTTGCAACGCTTGATTTGTTATGCGTAAGAAGTCTACTAGCACCCCTATACAATTGAAAATAAAAATTCTAATAATGAATATATTCTTAATAGGTAACATTAGGGATCATGTTAAATAAAGAATAGGTCCATTTTCACGGGGAACGGTGGAAGTTTCAAGCACGTTTCTCCGAGGGTGAGTGTACCTTTGTGGCGAGTTTTATTAAGGGCGAATATAATGGGGTTACCTCGAAGGCGAATATTACCGGGGCGAGTTTTCGAAAGTGAATTAGTTTTTCAAGGCGAACTTTCCTTTGCTTGCCTATAACTAAAACAGATCCATTCAATCGTAAATCACGATTTCGACCTCTACCCGAAATTTGCTTTGCTCTTAAGGGGCACAGTTGATTCATTTTTCATGTAAAATTTCAAATAACAAATTATTTCAGAGGTTGATTTTTCGGAACCGTTATTTTGGAAGCGTGAACACAGGTGGCCATTGAATATTTCATGAACACAAGCAATATACATTTTCATCGTTCATTCGTTGTTGTTTTCTTAACTCGCGTAACAAAATATCCCATTATAAATACATGGTATGGTATGGATTTTACAAAATCTGCACCTCTGAGGATTTCTGGTGGAAAATTCATAATTTAATATAATTTGAAGCCTCCAATTCCGCAATTGTCATACCTATTTAGAATTTTTAACGTCTCTACAGTGCTGTCCATCCTAATTTTTGTAACGAAATACGCAAATTAACCTTGTCGAGCAGAAGCAATTACTTTTAGTGTAATGTAAAGACAACATTTTCTTAAGTGCTTCTTCGAGAAACTGTTCTCGTTACTTCAAGATTCTAAGAATACATTTGTACGTCAAAAGGGCTCCCCCAATATCTCTCGTAGAGGGCGCAGCTGTGTAAAATAAATTTAGTTGTGCCTTCATCTAACATTTAAATTGGCACGTATACATCTTAACCACTACGTTCATTTGTGAAAATAAGATAGGTACGGAGATATAAATTTAAATCGAATTGGCTGCATTCTTAGATTGAGGCTATATAAAACAAGCACTTTAGATTTCAATACAAATTGGGTACATTAAGGGCCAATCAATCACTGAAGGACTCCTTAATTGAAAGCTTCATCAGTGGAATAAGAGAGTTCTACAAGCTGGAACTAGTTAACAATTTATAGGAGGTGGCTAAATTTTGGCACATGTTCAATTACATTTCAATTAAATGATCGCGATTTCAGCTTGAAATTACGGCTTTTTCTATGACACATTTTGAAGGGTGTGATAAATTTGGAAAAGAGACAAAAAATCTCATTTCTGCCCTAGCGAGTATTTTTCAATGTATCTATCAGGAATAATTTACCTAAGCTTAATACAACTTTTCCAAGTGCCATCCTGCAAAATACAAGTTTTTATTACAATGCTAGTTTCTTTATGTCGAAATATTTTCTCCCCTAATTAATTTAGAGTAAAGTTGTAAATAGGCTTATTGTAGCTTGAAAAATTCTACGTCTGCTCATGTCCTCCTTTCTTTATTATTTTTCAATTCCGAAAATTGGAAAAAATAAATAAATTAGAATTTAGTGTTTGGGTAAAAATGGATTTTTTTTGTTTCAATAATTTCACGCCAAGAATGATTTTTACTAAAATCACCGTGCTGTGGAATTATTGAGACAGATATTAGATTTAAAATTATAATTTATAATTTCATTAATTTCCCACAACCAAAAATTTCAAATGGGCACTTTAATAAACGCAGAATTTTATAATCTACAAAAAATGTATCTATACAACTTTGCTGTAAAATAATTAGAGGAGAAAATATTTCATTATAAATAAATTACCATTGTAAATTCCTATATTATTTTTCTAGCTATACACCCTTATACCCACTCCTGGGTAATCCCTTCCAGCGTGCTCATTAAAAGAAATCCTCGGTGAGAAAAGGTCGTGCGTTCAAATTTGAGGAAGTTTGTTTCTAATAAATCAGAATAGTTAGGTATCAAGGGTAAATGACAATAATTAATCTTTAGTGATTAATACGGGCCAAAAGAATTCTTCCAGACTCTGCATAAAAAGTAAATATTTTTGATTTATAAATTTGTTATTGTAAAAACCTTGGATTTGCTGATCCACAAATGAATTGCAGAGGTGGAAGTAGGTAGACATTCTTGATTATTTACGCAGCAGTCACAATTGGCCGACTCACCAATGAAATGTTCAAAGCTGGTTCTTTAAGGGTGATTAATTTTCGACTTTTCCCACCAGTTGTGGTACCCAAAACAAGTAGCTACGTCTATATCGTGGGTGTAGATAAGCTTTAAACCCAGTCGCTTACTAAATGCCCTAATAACAAAATCCAGAATTACCTAATGAATTATATGTTTAAATTTACTTACCCTTCGAAGAAGAGGTTTTGCACTCCATTCAATGGCTAACGGCCTTAGCGGATCAAATTTCCTCAATTAATTTAACTGCAACGAAATACACGTTTTATTGCATATAAGACAATAGTTATTTACATATGAGTATGGGAAATCAAGGTTTACGTTAACGAGTGAGATGTTTACTGCCGAATCGTAGCTGAGGCAGGAATTTCGAAACGAGTAAAGTTAACTGATTTAACATACAAATAATGTAAAACATTTTATTTCATACTGCTCTTTTTTCTATTAAAATGCCATACAATTTTTTATTAGAATGTTGTACGCAAATGGAAGCAAAAATCTATCACTTGATTTGTTGGATCTGACAGTAGTTTGACACATTAATATTTAGGTTTATATGGATGTCAGGCAACATTTCCAGTCTGGTAAAAATTTTCAGTCTGGTAAAATACGATTTACCAGACTCAAATGGGTCTGGGAAAGTGGCGATTACTAGATAGTATGAAATAAATTAAATTAAATAGCAATACACTTGCTGCACTAAATTGCTACACCCTGTATATCTAGTAACATACATTTTTCCAAAAAAAAATTTAAAGGAAATTCCCTCGTATAATGGAAGTAATTCAAAATAAATGTTGGTTCAAATAGGTAAGCAAAAGTTCTTGGTATTTTATGTACCTATTTCTATAGGTATCTTAAAAACATTCTGGGCATTTCAGGGTATCACTGAACTTCAAAAAAAAACGTCGTCACGGAATGCTACGAATACTGCGTTTTCTAGTAGTAAATTTCTTCGTTTTATCGTGTTGTATTACTAATCAAACCCTTTGTTTCAGATGTCCTAATATGGGCCTGCCTTGGATGCTAGTTGGTGCAGCCGCTATCCTTCTGGTAACAAGTTCAGCTCAAACAGACATGTAGGTACATTTTTTTTCGTATTTTTGTATGATAACGTTCCATTCCGAACGCCTCAAAAATATCGAATTTTTTATGTAATCACATTTCTCGACTTATTGTCTTCCTGTGATTCGTGCATTATCTTGCTTGGTCGATTTACCTATTAGAACTTTATGGAACTAATTACTTTCGGCTATATCCTTAGCGATATATCTGTTATTTTCGACAAAACTTATATCGTTCCCACATAACAGAACTGTATCACGCACATTCTATGGTTGTAGGACAATTCGCGCCCAGAAAATTCGCTCCCGGACAATTCGCTTCCGGACAATTCGCTCCCGGACAATTCGCTTCCGGACAATTCGCGTCCGGATAATTCGATCCCGGGCAATTCGCACCCGGATTCTATTTTTTAAGGTATTTAAATGAAATTTTGGGAATGCGCTTCCAAGAATGCGGGGGCTGAGGTATGTGATTTTCAAAGCCACCAGACTGGTGCCGCCACCACGTGAATGCATTGTCTGTTTTACGACGTTTTCGTTAAAGCCAACGCCCCTGCCTCTTCAACGTCCATGACTAAACTGCGAGGCCTGGTGGCTGAAGTGGTGGCCCTTTAAACATGAGGCGCTACCGTAATCGTCCAGTGTGCAAAGGACTTAAAGGATTGTAAAAGCAGCCAAACGATTTTAAAGCATCGACGACCTGCAATGAGGTCTTCATCTATTGACGAAGGGGATGAGATTTTGTAATGATTTCTTGAAATATAGGGTTGTCAAGTAGACGTAGAGTATATTTAAGTAAAAATCCTAATAAGCACAGAATTTATTTATTATTCCTCTCTTGTTCTGGGCGCTCAACGGGTTTGCGCGCCCAATTACAGAGTGACTTGCATAATCCTTTTTAGAGGTGCCCTTGCAGAAGGTCTTAAGTTGTTCTATACTACTCCGGTATTTACCACATGAATTAGGAAAACTGCAAGAAAACCTAATTCGTAGTTGCCAGCAGAATGCTCGAAACTGATCTAAAGAAATTCCCATCTCTGTTACAGATGAAAAATTCTTACCCCAACCCAAGTTCAAACACACAGCCTCCGGCTATTAGCTTAACACTCTACCACTGTTCGTTTGTTTTATTTGAATTTGTATTTCAGTGTCTCTTTTTTCTCTTAGAAATTTGTTGGATGCGTAATTTTTCGGAGGTAAATACGCAAGAGTTTAATTTTTAATGGGATAATTTTATTTTTGCACGAAAGCTTTGTTGCAATGAAAAAACTCGCTTTAGCTGGTGCGGTTTTATTTTATGCGACACTTTGTCCAGGAGAAAACAAAACGTGGGTGAATTAAAAATAAAATTATCCTGATTAAAATCAAGATCGAGTGTATTTTGGGGAGATTAATACAAGACAGTAAATTTCACAACCACTATATTTTACGCATTCCTCCACGCTGATAAAAGGCTACCTAGCTTTTAATCACTTTACAAATCATATTATTGGCCAAATTTAGTTAACGCACATGTCCTAGTGCTGATATAAAGAGATTCCCTTAAAGGAGTTTCTTTTAAGGTGAAAGTGGTGTTTCCTTAAATACTAGTTCTGCGACGGTTAAAGAGCGTGTATATTTGTTTTTGTATAATAACTTGCAGAAATAAGATAACCAAAGTGGTTAACGCGTGTTGTCCGATTAGGGAACAAGTTTTCTCGAGTTGAAAAGGCAAGCTGCAGTTGTAGTACAACAGTGAGGCCCTTTGTTAAAAGTTTTCTACCCGAACAGCTACCGAAAATTTGTCATCTTATTCATCAAACCAATTTTGTTTGTCACCAAATTTAGTATTATCAAGAACATGTAAAATTTCCAGAAGCTGCCAGCGTTTGTGTGTGAGTTAATATCCTGAATATCGCAAATCTTGTACGACCAGATAACTTGGATTTTTAAAAAAAAACTGGAAATAATTTTTGTCATTGCCAATTAATTAATAGTGTTTATTCGAATCTATTGTGAAAATTCGGTCTTGTCAATCGAAAACGTTTTCGGATCGTTGGCTTAGCCCAAATATAAAGTTTTTATTATCTTTTTAGTGTTATAATCCTTTCCAAACATTATACCTACTAATTAATGCTAACCTAAAGCTGTTGTTAAATACAATTAATTAATCATTATTTCTGTATATTGTTCATGTTCATTCAAATCGAATCTTCCTCCTGACATCATTTTTATTTTTCTTCATTCACAATTTTGACTTATCTTGCACTCGTTCAAAATTTTGTTCTTTTTGGGATGTTTATATTCGTTGGGACAATAAAGAATTATTATTATTATACAATTTTGTATTGTTTGTTTATTTCCTGACTCGTAATTATGACAACATAAACATGAAAGACCACTAAGCATTTAGTAGCAACAAACGTTTAACTTTAATCGAATTTCCCTAAGCCAACCCTAAAAAAAACATTATGAATGGAATTTGACCGGTTCGACTTCTCCAAAACTCTGAACACGGTCCCAATTTACCACCATTTCCAAATACAAAAATCCTTTTTACCGCGGGTTTTCTTCCATATTTAAATACGAAACAATCGAACTTTGAAGAGTACCTACCCCCGTCAAAAAGAATGCGGTATTTGCGAGCGTTTAATGACAGTAAAATGAAATACTTTGACTTGGGGAGCACTTAAAATTGGCACCACGAGCATTGCATCAAAATGAAAAAGACTACTACGAGTGGAAAGGGCGTAAGATCTCAGTATTCTCAGTCAATATTCAAATTTTTGAAAAATTGAACTTTATCTTATTATCACATTTTTTTGGATATGAACGAAGGTATGCAAAATATTTCAATTTTCAAAATTTCCCAGAATTTTCGGAGTAGTGGCGCCACTCCCACTCTCACTCTTTCACTTAAAAACGAGACATGAATGATTGAACCAAAATTCTTATGTGGTTTTTTCGTGTTTTTGGTTCAATTGCTATTGCCTCTTTCTACTACCACGCACATTTTTAAAATTATAATTATTTTGGCAAATTATTTAACAATTAATTGCATCTGCAACATACTGAAATACAAAAAATCGGTCGTAAGGAAGTTCATTCCGTCAGAAAGTTTGTAATTGCCCCCTTCCTTTTCCTTTTGCCTTCTCCAATAACTTGCAGAGCACGTACGAAAATTACAGAGATAACGTCCGGATTACACCACTAAAATAGCCCTCTTCTAAAACTTCTGCGTGACGCGCTTAAGAATTATGTGGAAATTTCTGATTTATCGTTCGACACAAACTCTTCAAAGTTGCGCACTTCATGTTCACAACTTGAACTAACCAAATACTGCTCTTATTGTTTCAGATTCGGGGAAGGAAAGTCTGACAAGGAAATCCTGGACAACTTACTGTTAGCGAAACGGTACGATAAGAGATTACTGCCACCAGTTTCTGGTTAGTATCGCTAAAGTTGCAGCGTTTCAAACTCATTGTTTAGAAAATAGTAAATGAGACGAAGTGAAAAAAGCAGTGGCAAACCAACGTTGCCTTTGAATTTATAACGCCAAGTTCGCTTCAATAATACACTAAACTTCTTCTGTGCGCCATATTCTCAGCTGTAACGCTCAATGCAGACCTATTCAGTTGAACAAGCGTAAACTCAGATCTGTAATTGACTTGCATTCAACAGAATAAGGCACTTTTAGATATTGCAACTGTATTTGCTCATTCCATTTCAACTTACAGATGTTGCTACTTTAACATAAATGTTAATTCTTTACATTATCGTATCGCAAAAAATTCGCTTAGGTAGGTATTATTACAGTTTAGTGAATAAATTTCCAATTATTTCCACCAAGATGTAGTTGGCAATTTAAATTGAATCAAAAGTTGACGTAAGATTGTCGTTTTCTCTTTCCCCCATTTATTTTGAGCTTTTAATTCAATTAGTAACTCGAATAAAAACAGTGAACATTTTAAAGTTCGGAAATATCATTGCATAGTAATACTCCAGATAAAAATGTCCATCATGGGCATCTTCCGATACCATAGAAGATACGATGATGGTCAAATTAGGGAAAAGTTGCGCAATTAAACAGTCACTATCATGATTTAAAGAAAAAACCAGAAAAATTTCGAATACTTTCGAATTATATATACCAAACGCCCTAATCGTGTGAGAATATCTGTGCCCTTCGAACGAATTGAATATCAATAATATCAAATTTCATTTCGATGCCTTGTTCTTTTTTATTTAATGTTTTCGGTTAACTCTATTGCCCAATTTTCAAAAATCCTTTATCGTTAGAAGTGTTATTTACGAGCCCGCATGAGAAATCCTGACATCCACTTCTAAGAGTTACATATTATTAAGAACTTAATTACACAGTGAGAAAAAAAATGTTTAGTAATTTTAACTGAAAACAACGTTCTTAATCGGGATCTGAATGAACTTTATTTCTTTGTCCTTATTACACCCTAATTTAAACTTCCTGTATACTTTCTTATAATCTGGCATAGTCTGGCAGAGTCTAGTTAATTTGAATTCCACAAAAAATTTAAAAATTTAGCCCTATTAACCCTCGTACTACGGAAATGGAAATGTAACTTCTTTGTATGCCTTCAGGACAGTGTCAGACTCAAAAATTCACTGCAATAAATGACTATCACAAAATAGTATATTAAGTAACAAGGGATTAAAAAGAGTTTAATCCAGTGGTGCTTATACTATTTTTTCCAATACCGACCGATCTGAATCAATTTCGAAATTCATATGCTTTTTATTATAAAAAAACTGTGAAAAAGTAAGGTAGGCTATTTACGGTGTTATAGTTACGCTCCCTTTTTTATAACTGTCAACAAAAATTAAAAATTTTCCATTTCCATAAAACCATACCTGTAAACCCTTTTAAAAATATGGAAGAAGAAAGTGAGGAAGCATATGAAGGCGCCTCTTTCATCCCCTAAGATATCACATACTTGCTGATAAAGGTTTGTTTGTTTAAAACATTGAATGCTGATGTTTGTGCTTGTAGATTGTGATGATTGCAGGAGGAAATGAACGCAATTAGTATTTGGCATTATATAAAAAGAGCTGGATGTACTTTTTAGGGCCCTTTATAGATTGTGCTTTTAATATTAGGTACTTATATTCTGAAAATAAAGAAATTTCGGAATTCTGAATGTTTTACAAGAAAACAAAAATGAGGGATTAAAATATAGGGATTAAAATTATCTGTTAATGCACAAAAATTAGGGATTAAATTTAATAAAAACGTGTCGGTATTGGAAAAAAATATTAACTGCAATTCGGCTGTATCGAAAGCCTTTATGTACAAATGTTATCTCACGGAGTTTCGACGAAATAAAATATTTTATCTTTGAACTAACGGATCGCAACCTCTCCGAGATCAGAAGGGCGCTTTCTGCCACTACTCTGTAATCACTTTAAAACACAAAACAAAAGGAGGGAGTGATACAACGAATACGAATAGTATAAAAACTATAATGTGATATATATGTGGCCATCTATAGAAATAAACGGCTTAAACATATTTTATCTTGTGCCTTGGGCAATAAATAAAAAGTTAAAAAACAAGATTGTATCAAAAATGACCTAGTTTCAGTAGACGACGTTCAAACTTATTTTCATAGTAACATCAGATAACATCAGAAAAAATAAAATCAAACCGGCCAATTTCGGTTTTTCTTCGGAAGGAATCGAACTTTTCTGGTTTTCTTTAAAGCATGATAATAAATCTATACCTAATCGCGCATCATTTCTCTAATTTAATCATCGCCATATCTTCGACGCTTTCAGAGATCCACATAATAGACATCTTTATCTTGTCTTAAGTGTATATCCAGAAGCTTTTAACTAAAGTCATGGAAAATCTGTAGTAACAGCTTAAATGACGGGATGCGGGGGTTAAATTATTAACGCGCTGGTCTCTGGAGAATTCATTTAGCATAAACCATTTCTCCCTTACCTAAAACTAAGTTCTACATTACAATGTGTAATGTTGAACTCTTTAAATAATTTCATTATTTCTTTTTGTTACAAATAAAAAATCTCAAAGTCCATACAATTCACATAAATTTGTATAAAGGGTGCCCAAAATGTATGGAATCTCGGTAAATATCGAGTTTATACAAAATTTTTCTATATGAAAGCTGTTTAACATTTTATTTCCCATAATAAGTAAGCATTCCATTGTTTTAATTTCAGAAAACAAATGAGTAACGAAAAACAATTGAATTTTTTTAAATAGCAATGCACACTTTCATTAGGCTGATTTGATAGAGATTTTTTTTCTCTGTTCAATGCCGCAACACGTTAACGCCCGTGTAGAAGAAATTCATTTTTATTTTAAGCTTTTTGTAACAGTTTATGCCACTATTTTGCAGTTAATGGTGAACATTTTTAACATTCATTGCGATGAAAACCGTTTTACTGCTAATTTCGTTTTGCCTTCAAGGTTTAATAATAAATCTACACGCTCATTTGTTATATTTTGATGTACCTACGATAGCTGGATTAATGTTATTTATCTAATTACAATAAATTTTTTTGGAAAATTCTCCTTTTTCCCTTTTATCAGTTTTATACACTTTTTCCGGTTTTTTGATTCCCTTTAAAACACTCCTCCTTTCCTATTCTTAGCCACGCAAGTCTCGCGTCCTTCTTATTCTTGATCATTGTTTCTCATTCTGTCAAACCACTGATTCTTTTTCTCACCTCCTTTTCTTCCTATCATACCTATGTTATTCCATCCTTCTTCGATAGTTTCAGCCGCTATATAAGCGTCTAAACAAGTCAAATATTTTACTAAATATTGATATGTAGAAGCTAAAGAGTAATAACTTTACAATTTACAATTTTCCGAATTAAAGATTATTATTATTTTTATAAGATTTATAGATGTTACACCTTGCATAACAGCTGTGATACGATTTTACGTTACATGGAATACCACCACGCTGGTATTTTGTTTACTAAAATTACAATATCCATTACTAGATTACTTTGACTTACCCAATCTACATTTAAAATTACTTGAAAATTATTAGAATTCTCAATTCTCAAAATTGAAAGTAATTTGACATTGGGTTATAAATATATAATAAAGTGAACTGCCCCACGGTATTGAATTATTATCCTTTTTTTTACTACCTAGCGATTCGGTTATTTTTACATTTCAGATGTTCCAGAAAATGTTATAAAGTCACCCCCTCGGAAGGATTAATCATGTTGATATTTTTTAATGAAATTTTATTTAGCGAGAAAATTAGTAAGGAGGCAAATGCTCTTGTGGCAAAAGTTGTCACAAACATACAGAATAAAGAGTCGCCGGAATTAAAATGTCACCAAAGGGCATTTGGGCCCTTACTAATTTTTCCACTAAGAACAGTAGGATATTTTATGTTTTTAAAAACTATCCCATCGCATTTTAAAATTGAAGATTATTTGTTACTTTTCCAGATGCTGCTTTTTGCTGTGATCTACACACTCCGGAGGACGGGAATTCCAAGGATGACTATCACCTAAACAGCAAAAATCGCGGTCCGTTATTATTTCATATACCTATCTCTTGATGTTACTAACATTTCAATGTTTCAAAAATAACATACCATACACAATAAACATCATTTAAACACAAATTGTCGGGGTGCTGTAAATCGTTTTATAATGGGATGTACGTAGCTTCAGGGAGAACTTAAAAAAAATGCTGGAATTTTGCAGTGGAACAAAAATATAATGAAGTACATAACTTTAATACAAGTATATGTAGAGAATACGCTAGTATATTTAAATCTGTGATACTAGCGTACCTACTCCAATTCAGTTTGCAGAGACAGCCACAAAAGGTTTTTCAAAAAGATTTACTGAAAAAGAATAAATTAAAATGAAGTTACGTACATCTTATTATTAATGTTAATGTTTTCGTTTTTGATGTGGCATGATTTCATATAGAGGCTAGACCAAATTTATTTGGAACCCTTTTTGACCTTAAATACCGTTTTCTGTTCCGATGTTGATAAAATTTAGAACCATTGATAGAGGAGATTTAAATTGAAAATTAAAATGCGTAAACGTTTTAGGAACTATTAACTGGCCCTTCAGAACGGCCAGAACTCAAAACTCCAATCCGCTACAAGATAATTTAGGTATACATGGATAGTATTCAGAGGTAAATGCACAACGTGCTTGATTTTTAATCGGAAAATTTCATTTTTACGTGAGAGTTTTGTTGCGACGGAGAAAATATGGAGATCAAAAGCGTGATAAAATCTTGAAAACTTTAACTGGAACGATTTTATCTTATGCTTTTGATCGAGATCGAGAGAGAATGAGTTACAAATAACATTAACTTGATTTAGAAATCAAGATTGAGTGCATTTTAGGGACAAGACAAATAATTTCACAAACACTTCACATTTTACGCGTTCCTCCTCGCACTCTTATCATTTAACAATCAGCTGATTGCTTAGAATTTGAAATAATCGTCACACTGATTGGTTGAATATTAATGCGGAGTGTATTAATCAATACAAAACTTTATTAGAGAACGCTTTAGAACTAAATAACTTTTTATTCAAGAATGCCAGTCAAAACTTTATTAGAGAAATGCTATCTGCAGCTCTAAACTCTGAGAACTAAAAAATTGTAGCAAGAAATGGTCCCAAATATTCCTTTGGAAATTTTACATTATAATAGCCATCTAGAAATTATTTAATTTCAATTCGCAATGGTCGATTATGACTGTAAGCCAAACTTAAGTTTTTATTTCAACTGAAAGTTTAAAAACCTCTAACGAGCGGGCTACGTGAATCACCCTGTATAGCTATAATCAGTTTTTAAAAGAATACTTTTTTCATAGAAAATTTCAGATTTAAGTACTTAATTTGGCACATTCCTTTTTAAGGCATTTTTTAGTTACATTTCGGAAACTTTTTGTCTGTTTCTTTAAAGCCTTCCTAGAAATTTTCGCGAAAACCTGAGGAATCAGATACCTTAAAAAAATCTATAAAAAAGTTTACTTACTATAATAAATCGGGTGCTCAGAATTTTAAAGAATGCCACAGATTCGTCCTCGGGCCCTTCCTTAGGGCTCAAGAAAGTAAAAAAGAAACGGACATGACTCCCTTTCGAACGTCCTAACTTTCTTCTTTTTGAAATATCAAGCATCTGTTTAGTTTTCGGCACAGACGAAATGAGAGCATGTAGTGTAAAAATACCATCCACTTGCCACTAACTATTCTTGGGAAAAATAACTTCAACTTTGGGGTAAGACTGTTCCGGAACCGGAAGTGTCAGGTGGCGCACATTTTTACACTATACGGTAACAAATAAGGGCGAATTTTATTTTTGGATTCTTCGCACCGGATTTAGTAAAGAAATAAGATTTTGTTTCAAAAGTGTTCATTTTGCCGGTATGTATAAGATAAAGAAACTTTTTACGGAAAATTGAATTTTTTTTAGAAAATCGTGAAAATTACGTTTGTAACAAATAGGGTGCGTGGAATACAAAATTTGTGACAGATTCGTCATTAGCTCTTCGTTGGGACCCAAAATAAGTAAACAAAATTTTTGCACGCGCTCTAATTCTTCTTCTGTCTTAGAAAAAATCGATATCTCAACAAATAGAGTTGTGGATTTTATGTGTTGGTCATGTTCTATATCTGGCATTTTTTAGTTTTAGCCCTAAAGGGCACAAAATCGCCGCGCAGACAGTTTTTCGGATTCGACGCAGCCTATTTGTTAAAGAAGTTTTTGTCACTTTCGAATACATATTTGGATTTTTTCATAAAGGTAAAAGGCATTTCACGAATAATATGAAAGTTTTCATAATTAATTGAAGAATACATTCTATAGTAAATAGGGAGCGTAGAATTAAAAAATAACCACGTTTTTCGTCGAGCTCTTAAGGCCCAAAAAAGTACGGTACCTGAGAAAAGTTTTTTTAAATTTTCCTATAAAATCATCCATAAAACCTTCTTTTAGAAAATCCCTAAATACGTCCGTGCTTCCTGATAATATTAAATTCCTGTAAAACTCTAACTACGTACAGAAAATCTTCAAGACAGATAGCCCAAATTATGTAAACACTCTGTACAGTAATCTCAAATGAAAGTCACCCACGCCTATAGAAAATTCCACTTTAACTAACTACACTACAAAAACTACAATATGCACCCACTGGTATTAACACCCTAAAGTTTCATGGGTAAGGTTAGTGTGAACTTTAAACAAACTTTATTCATCCCACCCCATTTTGAGAAGAAAAAAAATTCCAGTGGCGTAGCATGCGTTTTTCTTTTTTAATAAAATTGATAAAACCGGAAATGTTTGAAATTTCAAAGGTGTCAGGTATGTTACACCACACCTTCACAAGAAAGTTTGTGTTTTTCAGTTCCAAAAGCAAAAATGCTTTTTTACTTTCGTATTGTGGGTCACTAGACAAAACTAGCCAATAGTTTCTTTTATGGTTTTTCAGGTTGAAGAATACAATCTATTTATAAAGACTTTATTTAACCTTTATCGCTAGGAATATATTTGGTATTTTAGTGGAATTTTAAAGTTCTGTATAAGGTGTCTGATGGCTCCTCAAAGCCACTGAAACTTTTTATAATGAACTATATAATATTTCGGGCGTTTTGTGAAACATTTCGAATATAGTTATACAACTGTTCATTTTGCTGTAAAATGTATATAGGGTGTTCTTTAATAAGATGTACATACGAAAGGGCCTAATTCTTTGACTTTGACTTACTTTATGACTAAAAGTTAGTATAAACATAGATCCGCAACACTTATCGATCGACAGAGTGATTTAACGATTTTTCTTTATATCTCCTGCAGTTTTTGAGGTATTTAGCTCAAATTTGGAATATGAGTTAGACTGAAGGGCCTCCATCATTGGCAATATCAATGGTACTGGGAATCTGCAGGATGATGCTTTTTTTCAGGGGAAAAGTTACACTTTCTACCCCTAAACTTTAAAACTTGGTCCAGTATGGCTTTATTTGAATGTCTTGTTTTTTTTTGACACTTCGCATTTGAAATTGTACCTTGTGTTTGCATATGTTTATAAATTAAAGGTCTAAATTGTAAAGTATACGGTGTAAAAGGACCCCTCATAAATATTGATATTTTGCGGTACGATTATGATGCTTTCACTTTTGGCACAATAGGGGCCTGCACGAAATTGACTCCCATATTATTAAAATTTCTTATTATGACTAAATTATCAGAGCTCTCTTTTTAATTTGTCAACAACTCGAGCCTCGAGAACTCAATTGAAAAATCTATAAATGAGGAACACATACACTCATTTTAGGTCAAAGAAATCGCGAGGGTCCCAATATTTAGCTGTCACTAATTCACTATACAGGTTGTATCAAATTTCGTGTACAGAGATCTCGCTTATTAGAATAAATAGAGAGCGAGATAGAGAGTTGGTTAAATGGACAAAAATAATCCTAAGGAAAATCAAGAAACAAAATTTACTCCCTCTCTCTAATTGATGTTTTTGATTTTTGACTACTCGTTATTTGGCGAGATATTTAAAAACTAAGTTCGTTTCAGGTTTTTTATTAAAAAATTCGATTGTTCTTGACCATTTCTTTTATCAATTGCCTCTCAAAATGTTTTTCTTTAAATTTTGAACTGATTGATTGATTTTATCCCCTGTGATTACAATATTTGGAGTACATCTAGGCCATCGCTCACAAAAACACTATTGATGAATGAAAACGAAGACTGCAAGCTGTAGTAAATAACTATTATTATCTTTCCAGATAGTTATTAATAGTTTTAACTAATTTTTGAATTGAAATACTAACAGCTTTTGCTTTACTTTTGCAACGACCGGTTGATTCTACTTAGACAACCCGTAAGAAATTTTATCAAAACCGGACCAAAACCAAAAAACGTTATTTAAGGCGAAAGACGGCCTCAAATAAGTTTGGTCCACCGTGTATAATCATTATCAAAGTTAAAATTTTCGTCGTTTTATTCACTCTCTGAATTAAATCCCATTGAAGAGTGTGTAAAAATATTCCAATCTGAATGAGTAGGTATAACGTGTCCCAAAAGACAAGATTCATTATCCATTATGCTCCATTTGGATTAAGTAGCCACTCTTTGTTAAAGTCTTCCCTCTGGAAAACAGTAGATAAATTCATACTCTTATTCCAAACAGAAAGATCAAATTAGACATTTATACAGTCCAGGCTACCTATAGTGTTGCAGAGAGTTTCACCGGAAATGAAGTGCCTATTCACTTTATTGCTACAGTTATATACCAATATTTCCTTTATCGTGAGTGAATGTCTAGGTACATAATATTTCTTCTTTTGCAGGCACGTTAATAGTAAATATAAGTGTTCTACTGCTTAGTCTAGCGTCACCCGACGAATCTAGCCTGGTAAGTTGAGCGTTTTCATTTTAAAGGAAAATGTTTCACCTTTTCGTTCGCCTTTCAGAAATACGAAGTGGAATTCTTACTACAGCAACAATGGCATGACCCACGCTTACGGTACGCGAATCAAAGCCGATACGAATACCTCAACGCGATCCATCACAATGAAGATATCTGGCTTCCAGATACATATTTCATCATGCACGGCGATTTCAAGGATCCTCTCATTCCGGTACATTTCTCCCTTCGTATTTTTCGCAACGGAACCGTCCATTACGTTATGCGGTAAGGAGATGTTTACAATTTTATTTCAAGATCCTCCATTCCGTGTAAACGGATTTGAATATATGTACATCTAAATTATTCTCATAGGTAGATTTTCCGTTCAGGTTTTCAAAAGCTTTTCTTACAGTTGAATCTTAAATCTGCAAAGCTTAATGCATTTGCCACTACATCCCCAAAAGCTGTATGCGTAATTTCTAAAAAAAAAGGTCCCGGTACAAGGCAATAGTTCGGGTCCTCCTCGAAGCTTACAACTTTTATTCTTTTTGTAAATTATACCAGAAACTGAGAAACAGAACGAGGCTTTGAATTAGACCAGGATAATTCTGAAAAGTACCTATCTAAATATTGTACTGCTCTCCGAAAGCTGGAGAAAGGTACACAGAAATATTCAAGTATCACTTACTTTCTGTCCATCAACTATTATCTATTATTATCTATTATTTCCGACAAATAAAAACATTACTTCGTGTTTTTAATGTGCTTATTTGTTAATAGTGTGGAAACCCTCTAATGCTTTGGAGGGCTCCATTTAAGGTAATACATAGGGGAATTTTACGTATAAGCATATGTATTCTTTTAAAAGATTTTCTCTGTAATACTCGTACATATAATGTATTTAAATATATCCTCCCCTAATTATTTTACCGTAAAGTTGTATATAAACTTTTTGTAGATTGGAAACTTCTGCCTATTCATGTGCCCATTTGTAGTTTTTTGTTGTGGGAAATCGGAGAATAAATAGCATTTTAGTGCCGTTACAAAGCAAATGCTACAGTCGAGTTTATTTCATTTTTCCGGTTTCCCGAATTGAATTGAATTGAAAGATAATACATGATGGCGCAGAATTGTTCAAGCTACAAGAAATCTATTTACAACTTTGCGCTAAATTAATTAGGGGAAAAAATTTTCGATATAAAGAAATTTGCATTGAAATCCTTATGGTGCGTAAATTGTTTCTACATCCTGTATACAAACAACTTAAGTTTATTAATCTGTAATTTACATACAATATTGTACACTTCATTATAGTATACTTCAGTGTTTAGACAGAAATTATATACAGGGTCCCTCAAAAAGCGGTACGGAGTGGGGATCACTAAAGGGATATAAAAATTGGATTTTTAAATGGTTTTACTTTTATGTACGGGAGAGTATTTTAGGGGGTAATAACTCCAAAATTTTGAAATTGTAACCTCTGTCCACTTTCACCTTATTTTAATTCAAAAAGAAACCATATATCTACCCAAATCTACCAAACGCTAATAAATGGAATTTTGAATCTTTTGGGGCATATTCCTAGTAAAACTCGCAAAAAAGTTATTACCCCCAATATATAAAAATTTTAAACAATCTAAAATGTATTTTATGATTCTTTATTGATCCCGACATTTTCAAATTTTTTCTTCGCAAGTTTGAAACTTATAGCTCTGTCCCGCTAGTTTTGGGAAACCCTGTATATGTATATATTACCCTAGAAAAAAAAAATTGTTGGGTTTTTGCAACGGAAGTGTTATAACGGAAACAGAAGCGGAAACCGAAGACAAAATATATTTTTTGTGGAAGTGGAAGAGTAAATACTATTATAAATTGAATAAAAACTAAAATAATCAGTCATAAAAATGTAGCCTGAAATGTAGTTTATTAAACTATGCCATAAAACGCACGAATTGTTGCGACGAACTAATGAGATTAATGAAAGTAAACAAAGACAAACAATTAACTATACGTATAACAAACCCCGGCTCGCGTCTCGCGTATCGCGCCGTCCCGTTCAGCCACTAGAGCACCTTGCCATATTTGAAAAAATGCGATATACATCCGTTATAAAATAGCGGAAGCGAAAGCAGAAGCAGAACTTCCGCATTTGCAGAAGCGGAAGCATCACTACTTTTTGCCTTACTAATGAGTGTGAAAGTTGCCAACTTCCGAACATGATTTTGGTCACAATATCAAACCATCTTTGAATATTAAAATACCTACTACAAATTAAAAATTTCACTCACCTTTATAAACACGCAGTTTAGCTGATTGGAATCTCGGGTAGAAAATGATTTTTATCTTTCATGGTAGTCTAATGCAAGGTCTCAACGCAAGGAATCAATTTCTACCAATCATATTCCTCCTTCTCGACTCCGTATGATGATCGGTTATAATTCCTTATATTTCAAAAGCGGATTGTCGGACGAGGGTACTCACAAAGGGCGATTGGGGCGTCTGGAAGAAATGTGTTTATTAATAATGCCAAACTTTAAGACCGAATATCTCGAAAACGGTTTGTCGGAGGGGAGTACTCATAAAGGCAAAATGAATCGTCTGGTATCTATAGGTCCAAGTGAATAGCTTGATATGGAAGTATCGGAAGAAGATTCAAAAGGGTAATTAGAACGTCTAGACGAGACACGTCTACTGGTGATGTCAAAACTTTCAATGCCAATATCTACAGAAGAGTGCCGGAGCAGGGTACTGTCAAGGGGGAAAAGATCTCTATTTCGAAAATGTTAGAGGAAGGTACTTACAACGAAAAAATGTAACATTTCCGAAAATCTCTCTAAAGGCTTGATTCTTGTTGTATTATATAGCGTAGATTTTGAATATATGCCTAGCAGCCATTAAATGTTTATGTGTAAAGATACCCCTCTTTCCAAAAAGTTTTCAAGGGAATCCTAGGATCCCAAGGAAAGATTTTACGAAGTCCCTGAGAGGATTCTAAAACAAATTTAGCGAGTGCAGTGACGATACGCGCCCGCTTAAAATTGGGTGGTAAAGGAAGCCACAAATACTTTTTTTTCCAATTAAACTAACAGTATAAAGTGTTCCTCTTAAAAGCTACCTACAGAACAGTTCCAAAATTAAATTGAGTTTCTTGTTAATTTTTTTTTATTTTATAGCAGATGTTAAATTGACATTTTAATAGGTTTGAATGAGTAGGCTAAGTAAAGGCTAGCGGTAAGGGTAGATAAAGTGAACGCTATAACGGCAAAGGTAGATAAAGTGAAACGAATCATTGTGCATTCCAATGACATCTGTCATTCTTATTCAAAATGGGACGTGGAACATAAGATGAAATGAAGTTCAGAACAGAATGCAACATTATTTCCATGGAAACGACAGAAGAATCCGAGCCTGCTATTTTGGATGTCTAAATTATCTCGCATCATTGTCTTGAATAACAAACAACTATTACCACACACGGAGGAGGAAATGGAACTAATGTGGTTTTCTGTGATTGATTAGGTCTTTTCCAATTTTACACAAACATTTTAGTTAGAACGAAGGGGATCCATAAACGTACACTCTTTTAAAAAGTACAATACATATCATTGCAGTAGAGTAATGTTTCAACTACATACGTAAGTTAATAAGTTCGTTTCAAAAATGTTGTAACTATTTATCTTTTCGCAATTTAAACAAAATTTGCTACTACTGAGTAGATTTTACTCAAGATTTTACTTATTTTTACTGAGTACTAGTACACCAAGGTAGAGTTAACATTAGCGTTAACCATCAACTCTAATGATTTATTTACCTAAGCAAAGAACCATTTTGTTTAACATTAACGCACAATCTAGTGCATCGGCAGAATAACTAGCTAATCTGCGAAGCAAAGTTTCTGGGTACCTATTCCTGCTTTAATTTTGTAAAAAATGTCCCTAAATTCATAATCCACCCCTAATTAGGGGTGCGAAAATTTTCTATCTCGGCCACTCAAATAAGACTTTAAGAATTCGATTATAAAAAAGAGCACTCACTCCATAGTAACTACCCTAGTCACAAACGTCAAAAAGTAAGGATTAAATTTAAAGTGCTAGAATCTGTCCGCCGCCTGTTCCTCGTCTAACTCGAAACGAGATAGCGATGTCGAACCTTCGCCAAGAGATTTATTTCAAGTTCAAGGAGCTAGTGAATATGAGCCGGATTAAAAGTCGCGTTTTAGAATGCGAGCTTATAGTGTCAAAAAAATCACTTTTATTTCATTTTCGTTCATAATCCGGAAATTTTCATTAGACTTAGAAAGAACGCTAATTACATTATTTCTCTACAAAATGACAAGTGGAACTGTTTACCCACTCGTTAAAATGCATTAACTAAGCTGTAATTACGTTTGCTATTAAAACAAAGCTAGTTAACAAAGCAGTAAAACGACGTGCCTTAATCTTACATTTTAAATCACATATAAAACATTGTTTCCATTTCCTTTTCATTGGATAAAGAACCGTACATCTTAGCACCGCGGACTGGTACATTCTGGGATTTCATTTATCCTAAACCGTGCGGTTTCATTACATTTTATCTCCGAACCAAGCGTGGACTGTATTTCTTAAGATTGAGGTTCCGTATTACAACTTGTATGTCACCCTATTCCCAGGCTGTTTCTATATAACGGCGTATTTATTCGCCCTAAATAGAGAATGATAGATAAATGCTTTTTTTATTATGTGATATTATGTGATTTAGTTTCAACAACCATGCAGAATTAAAAGTAATACCATTAAAATGATAGAAAATGTGTGAGCAAAGTGGAAACCAAAAGTATCTCATCTGGAAGGGATCGGATAATATGGCGATATGTTCGTGCTCAAACAAGGGACTGCATCCAAATAAAACTGAATCTCGTATAATCCCATAAAAACAAAGCTGTATGTACTACGTGAGACTTTAATTCGGTTACGTCAAATTTAGAGTCAAACAGCATATTTTCAACACTCCGTAGCACGGAAAATGTTAAACCATGGGCAAATCGCTCATAATTTATGAAGGAACGTCTCACAGAACGCGTTACATAAAGAAGGAAAAAGAGCATGTAACGACAGAGCAATTAACGAGATTAAAGAAACGTGAATGTTCCTAGTGTAATAAAAATGGAATGAAAATACATGCAAATTACTTTTCAGGATGGTGAATTACCACGAAAAAATTTTTCTTTTCTGCTGTATGATACAGAAACAATGTAGTCTTCCACTTTACTTACCGAACCCCCTGCGTATTCGATTTGTGTATAA